TACACGTTCGTTTCGAGTCAAATAGGCGTGCATAGTCTTTTCGTCAGTACTCTGTAGGGCTTCTCTAACAAACCTGTGCTCGTCCGGGGAGGCTCTCAAATCTTACCTTTTGACAGAAAATGGCACCCCTTTCAGTTACCTATAGAAAGCAAACTGTCTACCCTTTCTATAACGGCCGTAGCCCATTTAAAACCCTTAGTGACTCACCCGTTAGGTGTGTCTGCTCAAAACATTTTTCAAAGGCTCTTAAATACCTCGTGCTGATTAAATGGCAGTTTCCTTTTTGTTTTCTGTAATGATTAGTTCGTGAAAACCTTGCCCTTTTATTTAAATCCAACTTGAAAAACGTCAGGTTTCCAAGCATCCTTACCCCACAACCAGCATCGTTCCCAGGGTCTCTCTTCCTCCAGCCCCCTGGAGCTCCCTGCAGGAACCAAGATCGTGCCACAATATTAAAGGAGAAGGTCACTCCAAAAAACGTATAGTTTTTGTCGACGTTAATAAAAATCTTGCATTAAGTTTAGCCACTCACCGAAGTTTCAGCCTCTAAAGTGCAGGTTTTCCTTATGAAATTCGTCTCCAAAGAAGCCCAAAATTCGAACATCGTTGCCGTCATCGTTGCTGCCATTTTGAACAGTACTCAGTAGCCGTGACGTCATTCCGTCCCAGAGATTTTGTCCAAATAGCTTCCGAGGAGCCTTTTAACAACTATTCTGGGTTATGGCTGCTCTTGAACCATATTATTTTGCGCCAAACATGCTCCAAACTCTGAAATGATAGCATTCAAGATAGCGAAGTGGATAATCGCTTTGAAAAAAAATAGATTTTGCTGACCTTGTGAAGGGTGCCAAGTCAGTTGCGGGTTTTTCTCCTTCCCGTCAATTTCGAGTCGGACGGAATGACGTCACATAAACACGGCCTTGCTGCCAAGACAGTTTCAAAATGGCGGCCTCCGAAGTCGCTTCTTGCGAGACGAATTTCTTCAGGATATCGGAAACTCAAGCTTCAGAGGCTGAAACGTCGGCGAGTAGAAAAACTGAATGTTTACTTGCTATAGGCGAAGGGAAAAAAGCAAGCTTTTTGGAGTGACCTTCTCCTTTAACCTCAAGTGCCTCCTCCCCAGCCTCAGGAATCTGAGGTTATTAAAATGTTTGTGATTTTTGCATGTCGATTACTTTTTTAAATGACCTCTGTACCAGCTTTATTCAGAAAGAGGGAAAAGTTTTCGATTTTAGATAACTAAGAACAGTTTCCTTTCCTTTCCAGCACTTATACTTTGATGAATCAATAATCCCACTCCAGTATCTGGTGATGGTACGATGTAATTGTGTCTAATGAAATATGCTCATTCATTGGTGAACAAGTTGTGATCATCGAGAGTTTTTGTACATGACAGGTCACCATAGCAACAGCCGACCTGTTAAAAACACCCTTAAAACTTCAATTGCTTATCATTCATAAACCGGACCCCATTCTTTTATTACCAAATTGTGATCAGTATGTTGCTGCTGGATATATACACGTTTTTTCAAAGTTTGCAAAAACTATGTGGAGGGGTTCAGAGGCAACTTAATTTTGGGTTTT